TCTTCAAATCATTCTCATTTCTCAGCCCTTCCTGATTTTGCAATCTTCTGCGGATGTGCATTCCAGCCACTATCATCAGAATCTATTTTCGTTATATTTCTATTTTTTGATATATTTTTGCATCGTTTTCGAGTTGCAGCTTTTTTAAAAATATCAATTCAGTGTGAGTTGTATGTGTTGCAAAATTTATCGCCTGGGCTGAGAGGGGGATTTTGGTCACTCAGTCCACAACTGTTTGTGGGACACTGCTGTGCACAATTGGCTGCTGCATTTCACCCACAAAATATATAATCAATTCACTTTACAATATATTTTATGAAGTGCTTTGAGGCGTCTTGAAGACGTGATAAGACGCTATGTCATTTGCAAGGATTATTATTATATTATCATTTGCTCTTCCAACACCGGCCTTGTGCTTCATCCCTTACTCTAGCCTTGCTACTTCGTTACTTTGCTGCTTTCTTTCAAAAGCCTCCTAAACATGATCTCTTTGACAGTATCTTTGATGAGCAGTCTTAAGTCTCTTATTTCTTCACTTCATGTGCACCACTACATTTGTCTAGTACTTTCAGCATTCCAAGATGCTAACCTGCATAAATGGCCTACATAAATGCAAGTTGCTTGAGGCGTTCTATTATGTGAAAACCACTATATAATTCTAAGCTGCTGTTCGGCTAACACTATAGCCTCTTATAATGTTTTATCCTCCCAATTCTTTTAACATTGAGGCAGTGGCTCAAATTCCACAAATGACAGCTGATATTTTCAATGTATTTATTTTGTAGCAATTTTGAAAATGGATTGACCCACCACTGGGGATATTTTACATAACAATTGAAAAACCAATTGTAAATCTGCTAAAAATCCAGACTCCTGTTTTATCGCTTCCCAACAGAGAAGGCACTTTATCCCCCAGCTTTATAAATACACAGAAGACCCTGGGGTTTGATAAAGGATTGGCAGATCTCATTCAATATTCATGACATTGGGAATGCCATTAGTGAGGTCATGATCTTTAGTGCGCTATGGTTCTCTGGAAGGTCCAAATTTAACCGGCACTTTGCTTTGACTACGAAATGTCACTCGTATTTGCTTTGTGCTGTTCTGTGTTTTACGCAGGATTAACAGCTGTCTAAAATAAGGGAGGATTCTGGCTGTAAAATTGTATCTGTATAGAAATCTTTGATCACATTAACCTCTCTCACTTAGCTAGAAGACCTCTGTAGGGTTTGCTTTCTCTTTTGTTCGTAGTTTATATCAAGCAGTTATATTTCATAAAGAGAGTGCTCTGCTTGTTGTAAAAGTACAAACTTAAGTACACTGAGATTTACAGGAATCATTGAAGACATAGAAAAGGATTTTTGCCCATTTTGAAAAATTTCACTTGCCATCATGACAGTGACATTTGAATTCTTAAGTCCCTTAAATTAAAACCCTTGATTTTGAAATTCAAGACTGCGCAGAATTTTAGAAGGTCTTAGGCTAAGACCATATGAAATTTTGAGCTTCTGATCTGTATTGGCTTAATAAAGCTCCCAAGGCAGCACTGAACAAGGGTATATCTGAATAAAACCAGAGCAGGTGAGGACTGCCCATCACCTGCTAATCCTCCATGACCCATCCATGAGAAGGCTAACATTTTGGTGGGAGAGGATAAAAAGTTCCTTATTGTACCCATAATGTCAGAGTGTCAAGGTAATACTCCCAGTTCTTACAGTGGAGTGTCAACCAGTTTGTGAGCTAGTTAGTGAAATCTCAAAGGTATTTCTGTGCTCCTGCCCTGTGACACATGCTAGCCTATGTGTTTCGCCAACTCTCTATCATGAACTCTATCAGTATCAGTCACTTCATTTTACTGTATATTCTGTGAAGCGCTTTGAGATGTCTCAAAGATGTGATAAAGCGCTACATCAAATGCAAGGATTATTATTATATTATATTATATTATATTATATTATATTATATTATATTATATTATATTATATTATATTATATTATATTATATTATATTATATAACTCATTACTTTAACACTGGAAGCCTTTACCCTATTATCCATATGCTTTAGTGTAACTGAAGGTGCACCAAGGACAGGTTTAAAGGAAGGGCAATGAAGGAAATTGGATGATTTTATTGAAAATGCTATGTTAACACTGCTACAATTGCTTGCTGTCTCACAAAGACGTAGGGGAGGTTAAATGAGTTGGAACCAGACGGGAGAGGTTTTGGAGGATGCTTTCATTTGACTAATAAGGATGGGAAAGCTGAATTGTGAGCATGGAAGAGAAATGGATCTCTAAGACACAGAAGGAGAAAGAATGAGAAGTGAATTCTGTGTAAAGAACAGTATAAAGGAATGGAAGATGGAGACTTGTTGGGCAAGAGGAGGGCCAAAGAGAAGTAACTTGGAGACATGGAGTTGGCAGAAAGAGAAATGTAGAGATTTGAAGTAGAATCTCAGATGTATAAAATAAGGGGGAATTTGAAGGATAAAACTAATGGAAATAAGTGGTGTCTATATACACCACATTGTGTTCAAAATTGTAAAACCAAATTAACATAGGGTCGGCTGCTATATAAATGCAAGTTATTGTTCTACTGTAAAGTGCAGTGAATGTATTTTGAAGATGAAAGCAGCAGCCAATTTGTGCACAGTATTGTCCCACAAACAGCCATGAAATGAAGAACGGTCTGGAGGATTGTTGACAAAGAGGCGATGTTTACTGACTATCAGTAATCTTACTTAGCAGCAGAGAATGACTCCCCAAATTACCCAGTATTTACTGCAAGTTATGAAGTAGCAACCTGATAAGGTATTTGCTAACTCCAAATCTACCAATGCATGCAATGAGTAATGGATCTGCTTTCTCTTAAAAATATTCTCAGCAATGAAGGAGACAGGGATTTGCACCATTGAATGGCGTGTGGTGGAGGATGTTTATATATTTTTTAAAGTATTGTGGAGAAGGAGATAATGTGGGGGCGCTTGGTGAAAGTGTTCTCATTGTCAACTTACCTCCGGGTTGTATAGTATTTTAAAGTGGAGTCCTGTAGCGTATTGGTTAGAGCACTCGCCCTGCAAGCGAGAGGATCTTCATTCAATTCCCAGGGAGGGCGAAACGTTAGGTAGACGTTATTCCATACACCTCTGTTTACCTAGCAGTAGGTAGGAACTCAGTTGTTAGTCTATTGGATCACTTTTCCAGGGGTAATAATCCCCTAAAAAAAAATTAAAAATAAGAATTTGGTCACTCAATCCACGACAATTTGTGGGAAACTGCTATGTTTAGTCCACATAATATATAAGAACATAACATAAGAACATAAGAAATGCAAAACAAAAAAAGACCAAGGTCCATCTAGCTCGCCTTCCACCTTCCTGGCAGTCGAAGGCACATTTGGCCTCAACAACCTATGTACTATATACCAATATACAGTCAATTCACTTTACAATATATTCTGTGAAACACTTTGAGACGTCTCAAAGGCGTGATAAGGCGCTATATCAAATGCAAGGATTATTATTATTAAATTGAAAAAGATCTGTTCCCCCAGTAGATTACACGTTCAGAAAATCAACACAATCCCTTTTTGTAAATATTGTTAGTTTTAACAAGAAACAACTTTCTTAAAACACAACAATTTTACTCTGCCAGAATGAGCCTGCTATTTGGTTAATTTCCTTTTTTGGCACTTTGGCACATTGTTAAGAATTGTTTCGCAATCTAACCTCAAATCTCACAAAGTGATACTCACAAAATAAATCCAGTTGATTTGTTGTGCTTTACAATACTTTCAACTGAATCTAATTTTAGTCATTCAATTGTGATTTACAAATCACTGGCAATAAAATCTATATCATAGCAGGAGAAATTTAATCTTCAAATTTCTTAGATTTCATAATCCTATACATAAAATAATCCTTGCATTTTAGTTGCGTAGATTTTAAATATCCACCTGGAGGAAAACATAGTGTGTTTGAGGGGATGGAAGAGATTATTTTATTGGTGATTTACTAGTGTGATTTTTTGCTGGTTGATAATTTAATGACGGTGGAAGAAACACCCCTTTATACATGATGGGACATGAAAGAGTCAGAGAAAAAGATGATGCTAACAATGCTTTGATGCTAAAAGGAACAGAATTAGCACATTGAGGAAATGACAGTGTGATGAGCTCAGACCTCATGTTCCAGCTATTCAATGCTGCTCATGTATTTATTTAAAGCTTCTTTACCAAACTGAATCATATTTATGTCACATACTCTTATAGTTTTCAAAGGATGTTTAAATGAATGTGTAAACACTTTTAAATTAAATATTTACTGAACTGATAGCTTGTCGAGGTCGGCAGACAAGCAGACAATGGTAATACAAGTGTGTTGTATAGGGCAATGTTGAGTTGAAACAGGAAATACCACTATTATCACTTTAGTAGGATTTCTGGGAGCCTATATAAAGCTTGGCATTGTGAGAGAGAAGTAGCATGGATGATTATCAAAAAGGAGCTCTGTTTAAAAAAGGAAAGACTCTTTGAGTTACTACAGGTACAGTTAGGTAGCATATGGGATCCTTTTGTTTAAAGTCAATGAATATATCCACATACTATTTTCACACTGCAAATGAGTTCCAGGCTTTGGATAGGGGTGTTAAATCATGATGTATTTAAATAACAATATGTTTATTGCAAAATATTAAACACATGGAATATATTTCAGAGTAAATCATTCACCATTTATTGGGAAGAAATTCTGCCTTGGTTTAGATTTCTAGTTATCCAGAACTTGGCAAATTCTTAACTATAGTCTTAATTTTGAAGCAGGTTTTCTGTCATTTTGATGAAGAGCATCAAGACCCAAGTGAAATTTCTTCTCAGTGTGTTTTCCTCCCAAGAGTAACCTCCTCTTTTGATGAACTTTCCCTTCTTGCCCAGAAACTATTGCAGACGTGTTACAAATCTAAATAGTTTTGTGATTGATATGCTTCATGTTATTTTCCCCAGGCGATGGAAAGCAAACTACTGGTTGGAGGCAAAAACATCATAGACCATACCAATGAACAACAAAAAATGCTGGAACAGCGGAGACAGGAAATTGCAGAACAGGTGAACACCTTTTTTATGTATAAAATAACAACAAATTCCATTTGGATAGCGCATTTCACGTCGGGAGGATGTCCCAAGGTTCTGGATGGTCAGGGATTTGGGAACCTTGCCAGATTCCTGGGGGTTGGGATCATGAGGGATGGAGGGCAGAGAAGGTAGGGGTAGGAGGGTGAACTAGGGTGTGGTCGAAGAGGAGGGTCTTGAGACAGGCCTTGAACACTAGAATACAATACAAATTTACACTTATGTAGCACCTTTCACTCCAAGTGTGGAGAGGGCATGGACTTCTTCATATCAAAAATAGATAACATTCACTTGGCTGCAAATTCTTTCTCCCCCTGCCCTGCAGTCCCCTCCCCATGTCTACTACATTCCCCATATCTTCTGCTACTGTTTCTACCACTGACTCCATCCTACACCCCTTTGCCTCCATCTCTCCATCCTCTCTTTCCCGCAGCATCACTCATATAAAACCCATCACCTTGACTCCCTACTCACCCAACTGCCCCTCCTCTGCCCCCTGCTGGTGGAAAGGTCAACCTGTCCGTTTCATCTGGCACTGTCCCACTTCCTCTCAAAACCTTGGTCATCACCCTCCTCCTCAAAAATCCTACCCTTGATCCTTCACAATTCACAAACTACCGGCCCATCTCAAACTTGCTCTTCATTTCAAAAATCCTGGATCTCATTGATGCCAGCCAATTTTGCTCACACATTTCCTTCCACTCTCTACTCGGGGCCTTCCAAACATTGTACCCCAAGCTCCATTCTTGTCCCCTTTTCCTCATTTACAGGCTCCCTCTTAGTGAAGTCATCTGCAGACACGGGATCAAATTCCACACGCATGCAGATGACACCCAAATCTATTTTTGCTTCTCCAGCTAAGCCTCCATTTTCTCACCTGCGCTAAGCTCTGCACCCCCGTCAACCCAGGCCTTGCCAGGTTCCACTGGCTCCCCATTGCAGAATGGATCGATTTCAAGATCCTCACACTCACATACAAATCACTTCATGCCCTGGCATCTCCCTACCTTTCTGACTTATTGCCCCTTCCTCCCCCACTCCACTATCAGCCACTTGTGCTCAGCTAGCTCCAGCCTCCAGCATGTCCATCCTCCCCACCCGTCTGCTCCGTGCTTTCAGCCATTACACCCCAACACCCTGGAGCTCTCTGCTTCAATCCCTCCACCTTCCCCCTCTTTGTCTTTCTTCAAATCACGCGTGAATTTCGTCAAATTCAAGACCTTCTCTTTCGACTGTGCCTTTGATAGCCTCCCTGCTCTCCCTGGTTTGTGCTCTGAGATGCCATCCGGCATGGAGGGCACTATATAAATCCAAATTGTTGCTGTTGTTGGTTTAGCGGCAAGCTGCACCACTGTTAAGGGATCCGAGAAGCTACCCCTGGGAAGGGCGTTAGATAAGTGCAAGTTGCTATTGTTTTTATTGTTGTTCACATCAGGAGGAGGTCCCAAGGCACTTAACAATTCTGTCTTGATACCTGAGCTGGGGTGGGAACTGAGGGGTTTGGAGGTAAAATAACTGACATTGAGTCAAAGAAAGTATTCAAATATACAGTTCTGTGTTGTTACTTTCACGTCCTAGAGTTTAGTTTTGATGAATACAAACAACACTTCAGTTTTTATTGGGAATTATCTCCATTTCTTCCCAAACCCCCTCCCACATCATGAGTAGAATGGTGCCTGAAGCTCTCTCCAATCTGATAGCGCTCCTGATTGCAAAGATTGACAGTTGATTTCAGCTAAAAGCAGGGTACTGACTTAATACCGTGAACATCCTGTGAATCATCACTCAAAAGCTGCCTTTATACGTGAAAATAAGGTTATTTACAAATCGGATTTGAATTGCTAATTAAGAATTCCATTTTGCAATTAGCTGTGACATACTCACTGTTACTGACAAGATTCCACTTCAATGATTCAGTCTTACGTAGGATTACAGAGTTACATAGAGAGATATAACATGGAAACAGGACATTCAGCCCAACTCATCCAAGCCATTGTTTGGACTGCAATCAAGCTTGTGGAGTCCTATAGCTCAATGGTTAGAGCACTCGCCTTGCAAAGGAGATACCTGGGTTCAATTCCAAGCAGGGCGTAACCTTGGGCAAGTTTCCTTACTCCACATGACTAATAATAATTCCTCCAAAACAAAAACAATAATAAATTGGTCATTTTCAATCCACGACTGTTTGTGGGACACTGCTGTGCGCAATTGGCTGCCGCGTTCGCCCACAAATATACGGTCAATTCACTTTACAGCATATTCTGTGAAGCGCTTTGAGATGTCTGAAAGACGTGAAAAACACTATATCAAATGCATCATTAAGCTTCCACCCTTCCTATTCTCCTCTTTATTCCTTTCTTTCTCATGAATGCATTAATGTTCCTCTGAAATACTAAGTGCCTAGGAATGAATCTCATTGAGAACTGCCTCTTGCCAATACAATACACCTTTTCTGGAGGAGAATATAAAACCTGAAATGAATACACCTTTGCTTACAGTACCACCAATCTTATTCAATTCCAATTATTTGCTATTAAATTTATGTTATTTGCAGTGATGTGAAATACATTTTCCACTTGACTTAGGTAGCAAATGAGGATTCATGTCAGTGAAACGTGTTGTTTCATTTTCCCTCAGGGCATTTTTGAGGTAGAGGAGTTCCTGATGCTTCAATTAACAATTTTATTCTGAACATGTTCATGAAAACTGTAACATTTCTTGCACCAAAAGAAGACAGTTTTGCTTTGTGTGGCAAATAGGTGTCAGCCTGGCTCAGTGGATATCACTCTAAATCAAAAGATTGTGGGATGAAGCCCCACCTTGGGACTTTGAATTTACTTTGAACACTCCAATGCAGTGCTGGGGGAGAGCTGTTTTGTCTGAGATGTTAATCTGTTCAGGTGGATGTTAAAGATCCCATGGCTTCTACTGAAAAGAGAAGAGAGTTTCTCCTGGTGTATTGACCAACATTTCCCCGAATAAAATGTATCATTCACTTCATGGTTGTTTGTGAGATGCTTCTGTATAGAAATTGGTTGCCGCACTCACCTACTATATACAATCACTGCACTTTAGAGTAAAATCCTGTGAATGGCTTTGAGACATTCTCCAAACTTTTATTTTCTTATATTTCAAGCATTTTTCACACTCTTCTACAAATCCTTTCATGCCCTGGCACATCCCTACCTCTCCGACCTGCTTATTCACGACTTATTGTCTCCACCCGGCCTCCTGCCTATTCCTCATCCATCATCGGCCATACTTTCAGCCACTACACCGTGAAACTTCAGAACTCTGTCCGTCAATCCTTCAGCCATACCCCTCCTTCCCCTTTCTCACATCACGTCTAAAGACCTTCCTCTTTAACCGTGCTTACGGTCACCTCCTCTCTCCCCCCCAGCTCGGGCCCCGCCAGTATTAAGTGCTCCAAGATGCTAACCTGCATGAAGGACGCTATATAAATGCAAGTTGTTGTTGTTGTTTGAAAACATGCTCAAGAATCGAGAATTTGAAATTTCATTGAAGCTTCCAATAATGATGTAAAAATTAATTCCATTTTTTTAAAAAAATTACATTGCACACAAAAGGGTGAAAAATGCATCAGGTTTACCTGTGGTTGTTGTGCTTTGAACAGAAACGGAAAGAGAGAGAAATGCAGCAGAGGGTGCTTGTTCAGGATGAAGAGACCATGGAGCTCAAGGGAACTTACACCTCGCTGCAGCAAGAGGTAGAAGTCAAAACCAAAAAGCTGAAAAAGGTGAGGAAAAAAGTAAGCCATGATTTTAATACTTTCTTTCATATTCTTATCATTATACAGGGTGAATCAAAAGTCCTTACTCAGAGGTCTTTGTGAGACGTTCAAACTGCTTTCCATGTAGATAGGTACATGTATCAACACCGTGACAAAGGACATTGTCTGTAATTGCTACACACTCTCTACGAATGTTGTCTTTAAAAAAGAGCATAATTAATAATTAAAAATTCTATGAGTAAGGATGTCTGATTCAGCCTGTATATACATAAGCTATCAAGAAAGATTGGACAGGTCGGAGCTTTTCTCTCTGGAAATGATTGACAGGGGACTTGATTGAGGTATTTCTAATTATGGAAGAGTTTGGTAAGATGGTCATTAACAGCATTGTTGGTGAGTCCAAAACAAGGGGGCATAAATATGATAGCAGATCTAAGAGGGAGGTCAGGTGAAACTTCTTCATGCAGAGAGTGTGACAATGTGGGAATCACTGCCAGAAGCTGTGGATGAAGCAAAAAGCATCAACGTATTTAAAATGAAACTTGATTCATCTGTGAAGGAAAAGGGAATAGAGGGGTATAGGGGAGGGGATTATGAGGGGTGGAGGCATGTGTGTGGTATAAACAGCCTAGTTGGGATAAACAGCCTGTTTGTATGCCGAATTATGCTTTGTACTATTATAGGACTTTGAGGGAGTAAATCAGTTAGAATCGCAGAAATTGCACGGAAGGTGGGGACCATTGAATCTTAACTGATGTCAACTCATCCACCGGTGTGGCTATTCATTACCCGCATTTTGTCCATGTGTGCTGAGAATTCTTATTAATAATAAAAGCCCTTGCATTTGATACGGCATATTTCACATCATTTTATATCAGGAGGACATCTCAAAGCTCTTCACAGGATTTATTGTAAAGTATAGTGACTTTGTATTTTGCAGGCTAATTCACTGGTGAGTATGATCTCTTAGCCATTAGAGAGTGGCTTCCTTCACAGAATATATAGTGGGGAAGGGCAAGGTGCAATGGATGGAGTATCCCTCGAGATATATCCCCTTTTCACTTGTGCAGTTAATGCTAAGTGGTGTCTTCATTGCGTGCAAATTCTATGATTCTAACTAAGTGCTGACCTGACCAAAAACAAACCGGTCAGCAATTTTTAATTCCTCTTCTCCCAAGCAACAGAAATCTGGGAGATTTATATCTTGGCGCTGCCTGTCATCCATCATCTTTATAAGTGGCTGTTTGTTTAACATGTATATAATGTTAAGTTGCTTCCATCAGATTTAACCATTCTTCCTAAGCCACTTCCTAGCATTGGACATTTAGGGTAGAATATGAATAAACTGTGAACTCTTCCTGACTTATGGCCTCGATGATTTGGAAGCACTGCAGTAAGTTTCAAAGCAGCACTGTACGTACCTCAGGCAGAATATGTCAGCAATAAATTAGATGATGATAATAAGTTTAAAATACGGTTGAGCTAATAAGTGATTTTACTGCTGACGGTTTTGTTAAATTAATGTATGTGCTCTTAAGAAATAGTCACTTCCATTTTTATTAAAGCAGAATATATTGCCTCTGATTCTATGCTGCACCAGGAGAACAATGCATTTCCACATCCATGCCAATGTCTGATCCCGATTCAGAGGCAGAAGCTTATAGAAGGGCATTAATAATAGGCTCACTGTCACAGATTTCACTGCTAATACAGAGTGTAGTACAGAGGCTGTCAGTACAGAGGCTGGTTGTACAGAGCCTGGCAGTATAGAGCCTGGCAGTAGAGAGCCTGGCAGGGTCGAGTCTGGCAATAGAGAGCCAGACACCACGAAGGCTAGTAATAGAGCCACCCCGGCCAGATGAGTGCAATGTCTTATTTGTTTTAAAAGTTTGTTTGAATTGTAATGAAGAATAATTGCTGCTTAAGGATTGAGGTAATTTGTATTTTTAAAAACTGTATTTAAAATATACTGGAAGAGATTTTCCTTTGTGGGAGCAGCAATGGCTCTTCAGCAGTACATCTGGCTTGTGATTGAAATACTCAAACATTGTTCGCATTCGCCAATGTAGCAGGACAAACCATCCATCCACTGCATCATCCGAAGAAATTAGTCACTTGACCTTTGCTTACAAATGTTCCTTTCTTTCTGGGAATAAGATAAACCTATCAACAGTTCTGCTTTCAACGGAGAATGATGATCTAGTGCCATCCCAAGTCAGATCCTGATTTCATACTTACATGGACTTTGTCAGCAGTGTTGGTACTACTGACAAAATAGTACTTTGTACGTTTTTGTCAGTAGAACCAACACCACGACTCAATAGTACAATGGTAGTATTCAGTACCAACCAATTCCTGGTTTCATAACCCGTTCCTCATTGCTGGAAATCAAGGGAACATAAGTGAATGACACTGCAGATTGGTAAATCCCATCATTCACCCCATGATTAAAGACAATATTAAAACTCAACGTTTCTTTAAGTCACACAATAATGTTTACTAGTTCTTGAGCACAAACCTGGACCAAATAATGGTGAGTTTTAAAACCATCAGATATCCACTGAACCATTATTTTTAATCTTATTAAAAACTTACTGGCATTTGACACATGTTAGCAGAGCTCTGCATGCATACCTTACGATTGGGAGCAGGTTAGTTGAGAGCAGGCTGGCCTCTCCCAAACACTATACTACAAGTATTGGTGTTAGATCACCACAGTTGTATCAAAGGAACAGCAGGTAACTAAGGCTTTGAATGACTGAGGGTTCTAATGTTCTATACATGTTCTACTTTGTGATATTCTTCTACAACCTTTAACAACACAAAAGAAGGCCACAAGTAGGTAGTCCTTCCAGTTACTTATGTCAACACAACTCAATCTACTTCTCTAGCACAGTTCCTGTGGGTCGACAGAGATTCTGACAAGATTCTTCATACGAAATGCTGCAAATTGATCCCATTATTTCTACTTTTATCATCCATTAAATATTTTTTTATCTGTGAAGTTAAGTGACAGAAGTTTACTTATAAATTTCTTATTAGCTGTTTAGTCAGAAAGTCAAAAAATAATACTCTAAACTGCATCTGATAATCTGTGCAATTTGCATTTGACAATAATGCACGATCTGTTAACACCTGTCACAATGCTTTGCTTTTAAAATGTGGTTGGATTATCATACAGTACACCAGTTCATGCTGGTGAGAAATGATTGTTGTCTCTCTCTCTGGTCACGGTACTCATTCTCTGAGTGCAGATTTTCTCCAAGCTCCAGTCTGTGAAGGCTGAGATCCAGGATCTGCAAGATGAACACGTCAGGGAGAGACAGGACCTTGAGCACACCCAGAACGAACTGACACGAGAGCTCAAACTCAAGTAAGTGTCAAGTCTTCAGTTAATTTACCTTTTGACAAGTAATTCCCCAGAGAATAGCAGGGTGGGAGGCATTTTTGTACCTGTAGTATTGGCATAGAACATCTTTTCAGTGGTGTTACCCAGCATCTATTCAATAACAAGAGAATGCAAGGATTATTATAAGAGAGTGTTTTTTTCCGTCAGCCGGTGTCTGACAAATGTGAGAACTCATCACCATGCTTAAGCGTGATGATGAAAAGAAATGCTTTACCAGTCACACTGGTGATTATCCCCAATTTCTATATATCACCATTTTCCATCTGGAAAAACAGGTAAGTGTTTCAGAGGACACATACCTGGTCACATTCATTAATTCATCTCACACATATTGATCGATAAACTGGTTGGAGTCAGTCATTACTCATTTTGGTGAGCAGGCCTGCAGTTAGTCAACTGTTACACTTATGAGTCAACAGCCTGGAGGCTTGGTTGTGGGATTTGAATCCATAGCCGCACGCACCAGAGTAGCTTTCCTCATTTACTGCAGGCGGAATTTATTGAAGTACTTTACAGCTGTTATTGTGGAGCCCAGCATAATAACTTCAACTGATAGAAGAGATGTAACAGACTATACGGCATATGGGGGACAGATCAGCTAGCTCATCTGATGCATTTGTCTTATTCAGATACCTGATCATTGAAAATTTTATCCCACCTGAAGAGAAAAACAAGATCATGAACCGCCTGTGTTTTGACTCTGAAGAAGATCAGTGGAAGTTCCTGCCTCTGGTGCCTGCTCAAAAGTGAGTGTTATGCACTTCGTGGCTTCCTTGCTTCTCACAGAAGCAGAAATCGGAAGAATATTGACATAAAAAGAGGAAAAAAAATCCCAAATTGGTGCAAAATATTGCCCTTAATCCAATTCTATTCTATAAGTAAATTGAGACATGTAGATTGAGAGGGGTACCTTAAAGCACGCACTGATAGAAAAGTGAGCAGCACTGCAGAGTTATTAGTGTCAGGAGTGACCTATATCAGAGACCGCACATCACGTATTGTTGCATTCACAGACTCTGTGTAATCTGTAACTGGAAGCAACAAACAGGAAAGTGAGGAGCCAGTGAACCAGATAACTGAGGTTACCAACATGTTGATAATATGCTGCAAAATTGAAAACGCAATGGTTTAAATGCACCAGTGTGTGGTACTGAGCCATTTAGTACACAAAGCTCTTTATAGTGGGTAACTTCACAATGTAAACATATTTACAGCTCCGGATCTTGTGGATAGTGCTATTGTTACAAGTTTTGTGACAGCCTAACAATGCAAGGCCTTCTTTAAAGTTCATGGGGGTCAGAGTTTCAGAGTGTTAAACAATTTGAACTGTCATTTCCCTTCATTGCCATCCTGTTACATATTCTCCATTCTTTTCAATAGTCACCAGATGAAGAGGAGGCCAATGTCTGCAGTCGGCTACAAGCGTCCGATCAGCCAGTATGCTAGAGTTGCTATGGCGATGGGCATTCATCCCAGATACCGGGTAAGCAATAAAGCACATGCTAAAACATTAGCATGCCTTGTGAGACCAATATACATGGCTCATATACAGCCTTATTAATGCATCAGTAGCTGGCAAAAAAATAAGAAGAGTGCAAAATTATCTTTTACGATGGAGATTCAATTCACGACCATATTATGCATTAATATTGCCTCTTTCAACATCAAATAAAAATGTGATTTGTTTGCATACCAGTAATAATTATTGCATCCAAGCTTTTAAATTCTAGTCCCTTTAAAGGGATTAAAGTATTTTTCAATCGAGTTATCTGAAAAGAGAGAACAGAAAATAGATCATCTAGTTATTTTTATTTTTACGATAAAAGGGACCATGGACCTCCCGAACACTGTGTGCTGTTTGCAGTTTACAAAATACATTTTCTGTGTAATTCTATCCTGTAAAAGTTATACTGCAAGTTGTTCAAGATGAACATTAAATCGACAATTGTTTGCCGCTATTGAAGGTTAGGTTTCGACTGTTCAGACTCCTATTTCTTGATGCTTTCTGTCGATCATACAGTTTTCACTGTACATGTGAAAGAAATACAGAAACATTTCAGCACTTTACTATGCTAAGGTACCCAGGTAATGTATGAATCTGCACCAGGATTCCTAACCGCCCATTGTAAAATATGAATTTATCTGCGTGGGGTTATGAAAAATAGATCACAAGATGTCATCTTTCCAGAGCATCAACTCTGCCATCTGTCCTCCCATTACAGCATCAACCTGTTTCTAAAATGAGTCCAGCATTCTGGTCTCAACCACCCTTCCTGGTAAGCACATTCCAGTGGTTAATTACCCATTGGGTAAAGAAATTCTTCCCAGTGTCTGTTCTGAAATTACTCTTTGGGCCCTGACCTGTGCTACCTTGTTCGATTGCTAAAACTTGGAGAAAATTGACAAAAAAGAAAAAAAGTAACAATTTGAAATAAAACTAACTTTAAAAATAAGGGGTGCTTCAATTTAAGTTGATATAGTGAATTAGATGGGACTTGATTCTATAAGAATAGGAAAGAGTTGGCATTTGTCCCTTTCAGGCTCGGCTGTCTGGCATTCTATTAGGTTATGGCAGACTTTTGATTCCATGTCCTAACCTTTCCTCCTTATCCCTTAATATGTTTACTTGTCTGTCTGTCTGTCTGTCTGTCATCGCCTCCTTTTTAAACATCCCCATTTGAATCTTCCAAAAAGTGACTGATATGGGATTGATTCAGTGTGGCCCTGATTAGTGTGACGCCTGACTAAGGGTTTCTGATCTGACACATAGCTTCTTTGGACAATCAATATGTGCTGTAAAATAAAATGAGGTTACTATTGATTTTGATTTAGACTGTGCCTTGGTATTTTTCTGATCAAGCCATGTTCCGGATATCAACTGTCTCCTGATGTAGGATAAGATAATCATTGCAAACAGCTCTGGACATTGTCTGGTAACCCCCTACCAACCTGCCTGCTCCCTCCGATCAGCGGGCTCCCGTCCCCTGCCTTGCCCGTGTCACCATTGGCCGGTCGGCAGTGCTTCAGCCACACTCCCCCCACCCTCTGGAATTCCATCCTGCAGTCCCTCTGCTCGCCCCCTCCTTTGCCTCCTTCAAGACTCATCTCAAGACTCTCCTCTTCGATCGTGCCTTCGATCACCCTGCTCCCCCCCTGCCCTCCACTCTCCCCGATCCCGACCCCCAACTAGGGTCCGAAACACAGACTGTCCAGGGTCTTGGGACGTCCTCCCGATGTGAAAGGCACTATACAAATGTAATTTTGTTGTTGTTGAACTGGAATTAATGCAGCCTCTATTTCATACTGTATCAATATTTTAACTTGTTATGTCCCAAGACCTTTTCCAAAAATCAGGCCTGCATTTAATGCCCTGCTTAAATTACATGATATTTCAGAACCAGACAAATAGATTGGGTCAGAATCTAAATCAGCCACAGGAGCTTGACATTGACAGTCATGTGTTAGCTCAAGTATTTTAGGCTGTTTCTGAGTCACAATTTTCCTTTCTTGATATGGACCTCAACTGAAGAATAGCACCTCAAATAACTTGCTGTATCTAGAGAGGGAACAGAGCAGATCATTTTTCTTCCTCTGTTTAATGATGTTGCCTTGGGAGGAGGAATGAAAACCCACCCGAAAAGATGGTGACAACCTCCTCTGGACACAAGAGTGCTGCTGGTGCTGAAGGATAAGGTGCATGAGTAACTGGGGACAAAGAGCGGCTTCGGTGAAAGAATGTGGGGTTGGGATGAGAACCAAGTCACAGTGAAGAGGATTAGGGAAATAAATAATTAACAATAGGAAACAAATGGCAACATGCAGGAAATGTAACCACGGTGTTGATCTGAGAAATTGACAGAAAACATCAGGGGTTCTCATATGACTAACCATGATATCAACATGTTATCCCGAATGTGCACAGTCCAAATGGCCAGCAGTATTCCATCCGTAATTGGCAGGTAAAAATTAATAGAGGGACTTGTAGAGTGATTCTCTATGGTAGCAAGAATGTAAAACCCAACTATATCCTGGATGGGATGAACCTAAATGGAGGAACAAAGGGATCCAGGGCTTCATATTAACAAGTTGCTAAAAGTAGCAGCACAGGTGGACAAGATCAAACAATGCAAGTAGAGTTCTTGGTTTTATGTCCAGAGGAATAGAGTACAAAAATAGGGAAGTAATATTACATTCATCTTAAACCTTCAGCGTAGTTCTGTTTGGGATAGTATAGAAAGGATATTTGTAGCATTAGAGAGTATATAGTGAAGATTTACCTGGGATGAGTGAATTGGCTGCCACGTTTTGCCCACAAAATATATACAGTCAATTCACTTTACGCTATATCCTGAGAAGCGGACAAAGATATGATAAGGGACAACATCAAATGCAAGGAATTTATTATTATTTCCACTATTTGGGGAGTCCAAAACCAGGGGCATAAACACAAGATTGACAGTAATTTATCTAAAAGGGTATTTAGGAAGAAATGATTCACAGAGAGTGGTGAGAATGTGGAATTCAGTGCCAAAAGATACGGTTAAAGCAAAAAGCAGCAACATATGATAGTGGAAATTTGGTGCATACATTAGGCAGAAGGGAATAGAAAGGTATAGGTGAGGCCTGGTGACGTGTTTCCATATATGTCAGATATCCTGCTGACCAAAAAAAGTCTTAAGTTAATTAGAAACCCCTAATTTAAAGTCTGGGATGAAATGTTTTTAAATGAAATGCTATCAAGCGTTCCGTACACGTTATGCTTTCAAAGAAAAACATATTTCTGTTTAAAACATTTTTTGGTGACTTGAGACTAATTACTAAGCACCGGTTCTTATACTTTAATGCTCTCTAGTGGCCGGAGTCATACATTGTATGAATCAAAAGATCAAAAAACAGGCATACAGGGATACTTACAGAAAAAACATACTAATGTGGACTTAAAATCCATGTGAAATGATTTATGATCTGTTTGCATTTTTACCGTTTTCCATTTGCTCTTATTGGGGAAGAAATTCTTCCCAGGGTCTACATTTATTCTTGTTTTCGTAGCATTCCAGAGATTCCACAATTTGGTAAATTCTTAACCAGAGCTGTACTTTTCAAATCATTTTTTTGTAAGTTCTTCTACGAACAACAGAGAACCGGTTTCAAAGTTAAGACTGATTCACCAAATTGCCAAAATGTGGACGCTCTGAAATGGTAAGAAAATAGATCCAGACCTAGGTGGAATTTTTATCCTATAGTGGGTAAGGAGGTTGCTTGCATCTATTTTGAAAATATAATTCCATAAAAATAAGACTCTGCGCTAAATAGATTTTTCTGTTGCAAAGACATGCTGTTCTTTGGAAAATCTAAATGTTATGGTGACCTCTCAGAATACCAGAGGGCAATGTGGAAATCTGAATACCTAATCAGTGCAATGCAATTAAACTATCAAATTACTGCAAGGATCATCACCACAGCTCAGCAATTGAAACCGAACCAGAGTCTGTCAGCTTGTTAAGAGTATGTGATGTGCTTTTCCTTTTAGCAAGCATGGTGGGTGGGGTAGGACGTGAGGGACGAGCAGGAGGCTGGTTCCAGTCAAGCAGAGTTGCCGAGTGGTGGATTATGGAGTGAGGAGGTCAGAGAGGTAGGGAAGTGCCAGGGAGTGAACGCGAGAGTGAGGATCTTGAAGTTGATCCGTTTGGTGATGGAGAGCCAGTGGCTCCTGGTCAGAGCTGGTGAGATGTGGGTATGGAGTTTGGTTCGGGTCAGTATGTGGGCGGCAGATTTCTGAATGAGCTGGATCTTTTGAATAATGAAGCTGGGGAGACCGGTGAGGAGTGCATTTGAGTAATCCAGGCGGGAGATGACAGACGCATGCACGAGGGTTTCGGCTGCATTTGGGGTAAGGTACGGTTAGAGGTGGGCAATGTGGCAGAGGTGGAGGAAAGAAGTCCTGGTCAGGGACTGGATGTGGGGAAGGAAGGACAGCTGGGGGTCGAACCAGATGCATAGATTGCACACTGGTTCGGTGAGTGTGAGGGAGAGCTCAGGCACGTTGAGGAGTTCAGATCCGCAGGAGTGAAGACATTGACAGGAGCCAACGAGTATGGCTTCCATCTTATCCATATTCAGCTGCAGGAAGCTTACACTCATCCAAGCCTTGATGTCTGCCAGACAAGCTGATAGAACATCGGCGAACCTGGAATTGATACTGGAGGAGACAAAGTAGATTTGTGTACATGTGGACGTTTGCCCCGTTTCTGCGGATGACATCACTCAGAGGGACCATGTAGATAAGGAAAAGAAGAGGGTCAAGAATAGAGCCCTGGGGTACCCGTAGGTGACTGGGTGGGGGCGGGAGGAGAAACCATTTGCCGAAATGAAATGGAGGTTGGTTAAGTAGGGCTCGAACCATGCGAGTGCAGACCCACTAAGGTGGATGAGGGAGGATAGCGTGCAATTTCCAGTGCAATTCAGCTCTTTCCAGCGCTGCAA